TAGAGATATAAGATAAAATGATGGTTACCAGAATGGAAGGAAATGGGAGATGTAGGTCAGCAAATAGAAAATAGCACATATATACAATGAAGAAGTCTAAACAATCTGATGTACAGTATGAAAATTATAATTGATAAAATTGGATTTATTAGAGATATTTGTTAAATAAGTAGACTTTAACTGCTCTTGGCATGCACACACACAGACACATACACAGTAACTATGTGAGATGATAGTTATGTTAATTTCTTCACTATAGTAACCATTTTACTATCAGTATGTACCTCATAGCATCATTTTATAAATCTCAAATAGATACAGTACATCGATTAAGTCCACAGTGCAGAAGAATCATCAAATATAGCTATTGTTATACCCACATAAACACAGGAATCCTCTAAGTAGAGTTCAAGTGATATTTTTGTTAGGGACCTGTTGGGTACGTTCGTTAGCTATTCTCACTGATGAATAACTGATTTTTAAATATTTATTTTTATCCATGTAATTAGCTCACAAAATAACATGTCTCACATTAGAAAAAAACAAATGCTGGCATAAAATCAACACTGTAGGGGACCATAATCCCCAAACATATCATAATCTGCATTATTCCTTAAATTATGCTGTAACTCTGTCTCTGAAATGTCTTTAAATTTCCATTTTCCTACTATATGAATCTTTAACATGAACTTCTATTTTACAGTCCCATTTCCTGTGGTTTAGCAGTGAAATACTTCATAAGACTTGATGCAAAGAAGCGAGAAAATATAAATAGACCAAACAACAACTTTCATGTTGAGTGTGAGATTTTCTACTATTTTAGGCCTTTGAGGGAGGTTAGTTCGCTCAAGCTCTAAAATGTTTATAGCTGAGACTACTTGCACCCAGCAGGAGCTGACCTAAAAAGCAACATCAAATATTCTATAGTCATGAAAATGAAAGGAGTTCCTAGTTCTGAAAGTATGCAAAATCTTTGCAGTGAAGAAAAGGGTGCTTCTCTATTCAAAATTCCATCATGCATAATCCCACATCTTTACAATGGTAATATGCCTTGAAGGACATTAGCCCCCTTTGCTGCACCGTTAAACTAATTAATTGACTTACAAGTCAACTATCTCCCCAGCAGTGTTATAAAAGTTCTTGTGAACTGAGAACCTATTAGGTGACTCAAAAAGTTGGATAGAAGAAACCTATTTTGAAATGACTGATCAGATTAATATCTAATTTATATATTGCATACCCTAATGGAAAGTTTATGCCAGAAAAAAATAATATTGCTTATTTTGAAAAGTTAAATCAGATGTTAGGATTAGAAGTATTCACATCTGTTAATTTTGCTATGCTTCTATAAAGTTTTTGGAAGAGAAGCCAGGGATAAAGTTTATCATGAGCTAATGTTCTAGTTTGTTATTGTTTTTTCCATAGCATGGATTTATTTCCTCATGATACCAAAAAGATACATAATTTAAATTTCAAAATTTTGTTAGAGATGGGGTAAGAATTTTAATTTTATCAGTTAGATAAAATACATAAGGATATATCGATTGCCTGTACAATTAAAAAGGTCTATATTGGTAAGGGGAAGTTACATTTATACATTGAGTTTCTTTAACCTGTTAACGATTCACTTTTAAAAACCAATGAATATTTGTTTGCTATTCTGCTTATCTATGCAAATATTTTATGAATTCAGTGTTACTAAAATATGTAAAGAAAAATATTTGCTATTTTAAAATAAAGTTTATGCAGATTCATTATAGAAAATTTTGGAAAACATTAGGAGTACAAAGAAGGAAATCAATAAACTTATCACATGAAGTAAGTTGCTATTATTATTTAAATATTTTCTTGTAGTCATATTTCTTTTGTTTTTTCTTTCAATTTATTGTCAATTGACAAATTAGTACTAACATACTATATATAACAACATAATTCTAACAAAATATACTTTGTATCTATCAAAATTCTTAAGAAAAAAAAGAAAAGGTGTATTTCTTAATTGACAATTCTTTTAGTCTTAGTACTTTAGTTTCATTATAGCTTTCACCATAATCATATAATCCTTTGTATCATTTTTTATTTGACATTATAACATAAGCATGCTATTTTAAAACATGTTTTAATTTTGTATTGTTACTTTACATATTTTTTTTTTGCAATTTTCATTGTTTTGGGACCTATAGTTTCTTTTTCTTTTTTTTCCAACCTAGGGTTATGATTACTAACATTACCATGAATGTTACATATATTGGTTCTACTTTTTTGGTTGATTTCCAGAAATGAAATTACTGAGTCAAAGGCTTTGATTATAATTAAAGTGTTCCATACGTGAGAATCAAATAGCTGAAAAATAATGAGCAATTATACATGGACCAGAGATTGTATTAGAATTGGTGATTTGAGAAAGGGTAATAGAAATGGATTATAAAGAAATGTTTCTTTTCCCACCCCTTTTAGGAAAAAGAAAAAGGTTAAAAAAAAAAGCATAGTTTAGAAAGAGTAACAATGATATTAGATGGAAAAGACAAATAAATCAAATCAATATTTTCAAAACTTGTTTTTTTTTGGTAGCATTAGGTACTATGATAATATAATAGTTATTAATCTTTGCAAAATAATATATGCAGATTGTAAGACAGACCTACCCATTGTCCCATAATACACAGAGATTTTGCCATTGTAATGAATTTGCTCCCGTGCTCTGTGTGTGTGTATATGTGTGTTTTGGGGGAAGGTACATAAAATGAGATTATACTGTATGTATTATGTGATACTATTTTATATAAAGTGAGCCTTCTCCCCATCACTTCTTAAAATTGATGCTATTTGGTGTCTGTCTGATATTTCATATTTTCTTTATTCTTTGACGTTTATCTTACTTCGTTTTATTGAACTATACTAAATGTCACTTCACTGAACATATTTGTAAGTAAATTTGGCGTTTCTGATTATGCAATTAGAATAAATACCTATAATTGGAATTTCTATTTCAAAGAGAATGCCATGTACAGATTTCTGAAATTCATCCTTGTTAGAGGATGTGGGGTCTGTCTTTAAAATTTCTATAGTAAAGTCTCCCTTAGGTTACCTTGATGCTGTATAGTTCTAGAGAACTAGAATTGAATACTAGATCTCTAATGCTCCTTGGACAAATGTGTGGGTTTTAATTAACTATGTCCTTCATCAGGGTCACTAACTATAAGGAATCTTTGGAGGGCCAGAAAGAAATGAATTACTCAAAATTAAATAAACACCTATGCTGGGTTATTTTATGCTCATGACATGATCACCTGGTAGTTTTAACCATCTTGATAGTATGTGTGTTTCCTCCTTCTACCCTCGAGTACCTCTTACTGTTGAGTCCCAAGCCCCATGGTTTTCTGCCTCCTAGCTGCCCATGTGGGACATCTTTCACTCAACCTCCCTGTTTCTCTCATTTTTCCCTCTCATTTCTCTCGGTTACACTATCTTTCCTCTATGTTGGTGTGATTGTTCTGAAGGATTTTATCTTTCTCCTCCCCCCATTATTTCTGATTTTAATTGGCTTGATGATAACAAATATTTGCTCATCTCCATGACTGGAGCACAGAGAGAAAACAATCAACAGAGTGTCTCTAGGAAGATTTTTTTCCACTTGGGTTTATTCCTCCTGTCTTTTCCACTTTAAAACTTCCCCACAGAAATCAAACAGAGAATGTCATGGGCTACACTTCGGGAAGCAAGAACTCTTGGGGAACTCCCTTAGCAGACAGGCATTTGGGGACCTCTGTCAGCCTGCTTTTCATTGCTGGTGACCAAAATACCTGACAAGAACAAGAGGAAAAGTTTATTTTGGCTCATGGTTTCAGAGGTTTAGTCGATGATTGGCAGCCTCCATTGCTCTGGCCTGAGGCGGGACAGAACATCATGGCAGAAGGGCATGACAGAGGAAGTGACTCTCCAGTGCTGGCCAGGATCAGAGGGAGTGAGGAAGGAACAAGGGGGACAGGAGATAATCCCCAAGGGCATACCTCCAAGAGACTTACTTCAAGTAGCCACACTCTATCTGACTACAGTTACCATCCAGAACAGTAGTGCTTCAAATTCTTAATCCATCAAATGGGTTAATCCACTGATAAGGTTTCAGTTCTTATAATCTAATTATCTTACCTCTCAACATGCCTGCATTAACACAGGAGTTTTGGGGCAACACCTCCTATTCAAACCGTAAAAGGACATTTGACTTTTCCTCATTCCCTTTGCTTGGACAGCTGTATCCTCTTAATTTGGAATGGTGAATGCTTGTGTTTAGGCCAACACTAGATGATACTCTAAAATGAATAGATGATTTGTGTGATTTTAGAAATTTAAAAAGTCATCTACATTTGAATATAGTGTTGTATTCTTTATGAAAGATTTTATGGGATAGCAAATCTGTTCCTCCATGTTTATCCCAAATCAGTTTCTTAAGCTTTGGAATTGTGTACGGGGAGCTCTGAATAAGATTTGGCTAAGTAGAAGGGCATCCTTTGGGGACTAGGTCATGGTAAGTTTTAGTTGGCTTGGAGCACAATACCTAGTTACTGAGTAATATTAGTTTCAGATTAATAAAGGCTGTAATACAAACCCTTACATATCACATTTTATTGTCATCTTAACTAGAAGGAGTGGAAGAAAGGGTAACCCTTAGAGGTAACCTTTGTTTCTTCTGCTCAGAATAGAAAAAATTAAGGTGGCAAAAGATAATGAAATTATTTGTTAAAATGAAATTTTTTACTTCTCTATTAGATAACAATTATACATGCCTCTCGAGGTTCCCATCAAAAACTCAATTTAGGGTGATGTTGTTCTACTTGTCTTGTGAAAGTATTGTACATTGTTATATATACATAGGTGGGATTGTACCCTCAGCTCTAAATTATGTTAAAAGACCATTATCACATGGGAAACTGGAATGTCAATAGCGAATATGATAGGAACTGCTGTAGAGACTTGAATTTGTATCTTACACTGTTTTCCAGGGAAAGGTGATGTGTTTGGGGACATCTTCTGGAAGGAAACCACCCTTGCTCATGCATGTGCCAATGTCCGAGCCTTGACGTACTGTGACCTGCACATCATCAAGCGAGAAGCCTTGCTCAAAGTCCTCGACTTTTATACGGCTTTCGCAAACTCCTTCTCGAGGAACCTCACTCTTACTTGCAATCTAAGGAAGCGGGTATGTTTTTAAATCTGCTTTCCTGTATTAGTACCCACAGGGTTCACATGCTGGGCTCTGTTAGAGCTGAGCAATGGAAAAGTTGATTCATTTTGCAAAAGCACATTCCCATCAATGTAAAGTGATATCATTTTCTTTTTTTATATATTTTGTTCAGTTTTTAAGGGAAACTGATGCCCTTATTATATGAGTGAATATTTGAGTCTTTATTATTTCAGATGTAAAATGAAAAACAGCCTTGAGGAGAAACAAATGAATCATAAACTAACAATGACAGTTCTTGGACTTGATAATGTAACCACAAAATCAATATCAGTGTCTTTTACGTTATTATATAGACTCCTTTAAAGCTGGTAAGGTTAATCAAGCTGGTTGCCTATTTTACATTCCCAACCCTCTTAAACCATCCTTCTCTTTTAATAATCAATTCACAAAGCTTATTCTCCATTAATCCTTTCAAAGAACACTATCTCAAAAATTAATTAGCCACTCTGACATATTCCAAGTATGTATAGGAATCCTTTATTTTGTACTGCTGCTCCAAACTTAATCTTCATTATAATTTTCTTTTTTTATTGATGAGTGTGACACAAATTTAATTTGCATAAAGAAATCTCCTAGCTATGATTTATAGGTCATCGGGCATTGACTAGGGCTCTTTTATTGCCAAGAAGGAAACACATGTTTGGATAGCTGCACTTAAGGAATTTCATCTAAAATAATTGATTCTTTATGGTGAAGTATTTTGCAATAACAATCCTTTCTTTCCACTATCTCTTAAATAAAACCTTCTCTGTAGTTAACATAGAGGGGAAAAAAAGTCAAGAGACAAATTAATGTCTATACTGTAGCAACATAGAAATGAACATCATTAAATCAACTTGATTCCTACTCAGGGTTCCAAGAGGAGACAAGACCAGCAGGTGTAGTATTTGTACTGGATGTGTTGCAATATCTGATCTATATTTGAACGACAGTTTCAGTTTATGCTTTTGTTAATAGTCATTGATTGAGCATGCAGAACCTGAGACAAGTAAATAGCTTAGAGAACACAAAGACTAACTTCAGATTCCCTATAATCAAGAAGCTTCAAGTGTGAATATGATGTGAAGCACAAATAATTGAACATTTAGGCGGTGATGAGATGCCAGACAACAACTACATATGGACCTTTCTTGCTTGTTTGTTAGGGAGTGCAGAGTCTCTTTGGACTACCATCTACTTTTCGCAATGACAAGTTCCTGGTCTACAGGGAGCCTGTTAGGAATCTGAAACTATATCCTAAGTCTGTCCAACCTAGAATCTGCCAGATTTTAAATCTTCTGCCTTCTTGCAAGATTACCAAAACCCCTATTTTTTGTCATTCCATCTTCAAGACAAATCTCGTTTGTCATTGCCCTCCTGAAAACATGTTGTTTACCCTGTATCTCCTTTGATGTTTATAATAGTCCCGTAAAATAAAACAGGCAGTTTTACTTCTCTCAAAGTACAAGAGGAACCTTAGGGTCAGAGGGATTAATATTAAGACCAACCAATATATTTGCAATGGTAGGTTGCAAAAAAGGACAATTAAAACAAATCACCCACAGAAAATAAAAAATGAATGAGTCAATCATAAACCTCTACCTCCTCTTTTTCTCTTACACACAAACACACAAACTCTCTTTCTTCATTGGTCATGAGGGCAGAGTGCACATGCCAGTGTGGCTGCCTCTGAGAGAAACCAGGTAGAGACAGAAAATTTGTGCTATGTTTTAATAGGAATTGGGACTGAGCTGCCTGTCTCCTTGGGTACAGAGGTGCTAAGTGACATCAAATGGTGCCTTAATAACCTGTTCCCTAGTATAACCGTGTCACTTTTTAATAATTCCAGCCCTTCTGCTCTTGATGGATTATTTCAATAAGTGGGCAAATTGTGGGTACAGGGCAGATTATCAATGTCACTTTATTCTCAGCAAAATAAAAATAGGAGAAACTGTGAAAAAATATCTTCCAAGGACCAGTAATATAAACTATCATTTTGAGAGCTTGTTTTATATGCCCCCTAAACTTCAACATATTTTGCATACAATAATCTTATTAAATATCAGCAACCCACAAACAAGGCAATGTGGCCTCCATTTCATCTATGAAGAGGTAGAAGTTCTGAGACTGGGACAGATAGTTGCCAAATAACTATGGGATGGTGTTTGGATTTGAATCTATCTCTGACAGATTCTCTGACTGTTTCTCATTCACTTTATTCTCATTGATCTATTAATAAAAATATCTTGTTTTTATTGCAAAAAGTGTTATAGTACTGAATATTTGTTTTGAATTGTATAATCAAAATTATGTCCTTGGTATGCTGTTGACCCTAACTATCATAACCACTGATTAAAGCCATGTAAATGGGGGAGCAAATTGTGAACCATGTTTTCAGCCACAGTGGATTCCAGCTCTAGCTATATAAGTTTTTACAGTGGCTCAGTGGAGAGGTTTGTATAGTGTGCAGTTTTCAGTGGCTGTTGAGAGAGAAGGGACAGTTCTTTAGCTGCCTGCACTCCATCTCCATTAAGGAAAAATGAGATGCTTGCTATGAACATGTAGCTCCCCTTAACTATCCTAAAACTCCTCTACATCAAAGTTCTAGAGATCTAAGTGGTAATTACATCCAAAATAAACTAGAGCAGAGTTTGGCAAACTTTTTGTGTCAAGAACCCTTGTAAATATTTTAGAATCTGTGGGCCAGTCTCAATCCCTCAGCTTTGCCATTGCTCTGTGAACACAGCTGTCTTAGTCACCCAGGACAAATTGCCATACATACACTGGTTGGCTTAAAAAACAGAAATTTATTTTCCTCAGTTCTGGAGGCTGGCAAGTCCAGGATCAAGTTACCATCCAGTTTGGTTCCTGGTAAGGGCTCTGTCTCTGGTTTGCCGATGACTACCTTCTCACTGGGTCCTCATATGAGACAGGAGGAAGAAAACTCTCTGGTGTCTCTTAAAAAAGCACCAATCCTGTCTTAAGTGTTTTACTCTCATGACCTTATCAAAACCTATTTACCTCCATATCCCATCACATTGGGGGTTACAGCTTCAACATATGAATTTGGGAAGGAGGACAAAATTTGGCCCATAGCAACAATCATAAAGAATATGTTAATAAATGAAGATGGTTGTATGGTTGTATTCTAGTGAAACATAGTTGACAAAACAGGTAACTACCTTTGGGTCTTAAGTGCATAAACTGTTGAAAAGTTGGGAACTGGAAATTAAATGGGGATGACAATGGGTATACAAGGAGAATTCTTTCTTCATTACAAAGCGAATCTCTGTTACTTACAACCAGCCAGATGACAATCATGAACAGACAATACCATAACTAGAGGAGCCAGACAGATAGCCAGTAGGAGGCAGATAGCCAGTAGGAGACTATAAATTTGATGAGAAAAAAATACTATATCTTTATTTAATCTAGTTTATTACTGAAATTTAGCTTTTCCCTAAGTTATGGAATTGGTAACAAATTATAGTGTTATTTAGAAGTGCCAGAAGAAATATTTTCAGATTATCTTGTATGTGTTAAAGGTACCTTGAAATGTTTATACTCATCATTATTTATAAATCATGTTCATTATTAGATCTGCTGCTAGATATATTACTGTGTTAATAAAACACATGTATATTATAAATTAATTCAAAATATTTTGATAACTGAAGTTCAAAATAATGTGCTTCCTTTGCAATTCTGTGTATTTTATTTTGTGCTTTTAAAACAACTGGTCTGAGAAGAGGTTCATGGGCTTCACCAGACTGGAGGAGGTTTAGTTTCTGTGTGAGAGCCAGAAACTAAACTGAGTTGAGCAAAGGGACTGGTTGCTATATTTTTTCAATAATAAGAACACAATTCTATAGTTTCCAGTAAGTTAAAACATATTTAGAAAAGGCATGAGAGAGAAACAAAGTCGATAACGCTTGCTGACTTTATTCATGTATTTATTTACTTAAACAACTCAAGATACCATTTCCTGGAATGACATAATGGTGTTTACTCAATTGAGCACCAGACCTCAGGTATGGGTCAAAGAAGGTAAACAATATACCTAGCACAAGTGATGACTAAATTTTAAAGGATTTTCAGTAGACTATTTTTCTTTTCTTTTTGGTGGTGCTAGGGATTGAACCCAGGGCCTTGTATATGGGAGAAAAGCACTCTATCAACTGAGCTATATCCTCAGCCCTTCAATAGACTCTTAATAAGTAATATACTTCTGCTCACTCTGCCTGGTGGTTACACAATGGCATTTGCAATCTGTGTAAAAAGTGACCAAGATGGTTGCCCTTTGAAAGTCTTGCTTATGGAGCCATCTTGTGGGAAGTTGGATTTCATGATAGATCTCGTGGCTCTCTGTGCCTAAATGATTATTTAAACATTGTGACTTATGTGCAACATCAACTTTCCCTCTAGAAGTGTGGAATTTTGATAAGTGCCAGGTGGAGAATGAGTAAGTGACCTGTTCTAATAAAATAAGCACTGAGTGCTTGATGAGTTTCTGTGGTAGATAACATTTCACATGTGTTCTCAAAACTCTTGCTGGAGGAATTGGGGAGTGAGCCCCTGAAGGCTTATAATGGGTTACTCCAGACTTCTCCCATGTGCCTTTCTCCTTTGCCAGGATTGCTTTGTATCTTATGTTGCAGTCAGTAATGGCCTCAAGTATAACTCTATGTCAAATCCTCAGAGTTCTCCTAGACAATCATCCAGGGTGGAGGTACTCTTGGGGACCACCAGCACACCATTTATAAAGGTTAATAATAAAAGTATGTTCTCTAAGGTCCTCCAATCTGCAGATATATCTATGATTTTATTGGAAACTTTTTTCCATAAAAGATGCAGAAACCTACAGACATTATGTTTTATGAGTATAAGAAAATGAACCATTTAAAAATTGGTGAGTATGTTTGTTCTTGAGGTTGTCAAGAGAATTCCATTTCCTTGAAGCTTAAAATAAATGTTGC